CTTGTAACTTTTAGTATCCACTGGGCCCTACCCGTTCATATAATCAAGGACAGCTATTCTGGTAAATTCGGTGGTCTGAAAACTCCAATTCTGACCAGCAGCTTCTTCAACTAGTAGTAATGCAAAGCATTTTAAATCCAACTTCAACAGAGTTGATTTATAAAAATATGCAAGAATCTTTGAGCTGGAATGACTCGAAGATTCCCTCAGCTACAGAAATAATTTCACTGATGTCTTGAAATATCCTTAGAAATGACTATAAAATTCACTGAGCTTCGTATATTAGTATAATCTTTAACAGTTACATAAGGAAAAACAACAACGTAAAAACAAAGAACAAGCAGTGGGAAAACATGATACCTGGGAGGAACGTGGACACAGAGGAGAGTCCTTTGGGCCTGCAGGAAAGTCCTCAGGGAGGCTGTTAATGGGCACAACGAGTCAATCGGGACACTCCGAGCGGGAGCCGCAAACACCCACAAAACCTCCCAAATGCTTCAATCCCTTGGACAGGCCTCAGGGATCTCTCAGTGCTGGTAAGTGGCAAACATATAGACAGAACTAAAGCGGAGCAGCAACGCTACTAAAAGCTGAAGAAACTACTATAAATACTACCTGAAACTTCACCGTAATTTCATAATTAAGCAGTGCTTGCAGAGACAAGACCCGGGATTTCTCTTTTCAAACTCTCTCAGCAAGGAAAAATGAAGCACCAAAAAGCACATGGCAGTTCCCATGCGCACACAATTAAAAGTGAAAACTAACAGGAAAGTATTAAGCAGCAAACCCACAAAACGCATAAATTCAAGAGGTCTCTGAAAGGGGAAGTTGGATGTTCATTTTTAATCTCACGGTCACTCTAAAGGGTTTTAAAGACTCAGTGTATCAAGTGGTGGGGCTGGCAGTTTGGCTGAACCATCCTCCAGGCGCAAGCAGCATGGCAGGTTCTCACAAACCCGCTCCAGGTGCCTGCGGCTGACTGAGCCGAGAGGGACGGTGCTGGTCCTGGCTCTACGTCCCTCTCGGCTCGGTCGGGCCTGTGATCAGCAGACGTCGGGGAAACTTTTTAAGAACAAGGGGAAGAAGGGCCGATGATTCAGACAGCGAAGCACCTCGGTGCCAACACGTAAGCACGCAGCGCAGCCCCCGGCGCACCGCACACCCGCTCACTCCAGAACGCGCTTGTTTGGAATCCAGAGATTTGAGTTACACTTAGATTTCACTGCCTCGTTTGCAATAGTTGAGCCTAACAGACTCTGACACCTGCCACTGTACAAAGGCAGCAGCTCTGTGCTGACAGGAGTATGGAAGTGGCTTCCTCGCCGTTGGACTGAGGTTTTAGACCCATAACTGGTCATTGATTTTGCAGAAAGGATGTTTTACAGAGGAAGCATGAGACGTAATGCAACAGGAACTGAAGTGTGGGAAACTTTATTTTTCAGTCATTCCATTTCCCTCTTTAGCTGCAGTGCAGAGCTCCTTAAATGCTTATACACTGCGGTACAGGAAAAAGGGTGCCGGGAACAGTGTTCGGTGACAGTGCCACCTTCAGCACCGACCTACAGCACAAGACATCAGGCAGCATCTACCACGACGCTGCTTTTCTTTCTCTCTCCCCCCCTTTTTTTTTTGTGTGTGTGTGTGTGTGTGTGCAAATCTAGGTCAAAGTGTCTGCAGCACTCAAGGTCAAGCATATAAGATGCTGCACTCTGAACTACTCACAAGGAAACTACTTGAATCACAGCACACTAAAAAAAAATCTACTGAATTTCAATATCTACTGTATAAATATCTGTTACATTTGAATTCTGGAGAGCCCAAAGCATTCTCCTTCCTAAACACTTTTACAAAGCATTCTTTGTGTTCAAGGCCTGGCCACTTGTAACAACAATAACAGCTCCTAGGTTGTGCGCCAAACATGTCTTTGGCACAAAGTACAATCAAAATGTGGGTGAACTATTGGCATCCTATAGAGAATTACTACACTGCAACTCACAGCTATCTTTAGCCATTGAGACAAAGCCAATTTTGTCCACCACCCTACACTTACAACAAACTTGACCTTATTTTAAAGAAAAGATGCAAAACCCAATCACAAGATCGATATCCATGCTACCACATGCAACTTAGGTTATGAAAAAAATAATAATTCTTTAAAAACTGAAATTATTACCAGCCTTCTGATTGAAACCCAGAGAAAATGATTGCCCTGGAAAACGACACACCGGGTGTGACATCAGAGTCAGAAAACCTAATGTTTTAAGTTAAACTATCAAATTTAACCAAAGAAGACTTACTTCCAGGTTGGTTTTGGTCTGAATTTGATAAAAAAAACAGGTTTTGCAAGGAGTTAAAATTTGGGAAGTGTTTTAAAATTGCAAATGCTTTCTCTTTAAAATCATCATTCTCCATATTTTCTACTGACTATACTTGACCTTCTCTTTAAAAATGTCATATAGAAAGCATTAGATGTGACTTATAATTAGTCATTATTAAATCATACAAAATTTTAGCTATCAAAACTTTAACCCTCTGATCTGCTAGGTGCAGTTACATCTGCCAGGTTCTACTTTTTTCTTTTTTTTTTTTCCCCACAGATCCCTTTTCACACTTCGTATGAAACCATTCTCCAAACATAGGAGTAGTTTTCACTCAACACAGAAGTAGTTTTCACTCAACTCCCACTGTTTAAATTCTTTATTATGTGATATTTACCATTTATGTTATGTAGCTTGTGATTCTACTTGCATACACTAGAAAAGCACTAGATATCTAAGGGAAGTCACATGCAATATTCCTTTGATATATAATGAATTTGACCACATGATGTTTTTCACAGGGCTTAATTACGGTGGTATTATCAATTACATAATATAAACTGCCACACAAAGATTAGTACAGACACTAGCCTGACCTATATGTTAAAAAAATAAGACAACCACAGCATTCTCTATGAGTTAAATGCACACAGCTCCCATTCCCAGCAGCCACAGTGAGTCTGTGTACAGAAGATAAATGAGTTATCAGTGCATCCTCTCTGCTCTTGCCTTCCATGTGTCTCACATATTCCTCAAACAACCACTAAACTTCAGAAAAATCTGCGGAACAACCATCCAGTTAAACTCCAGCACCTCTATATTAACGCTGCAGTGTTAATTCAGAATATTTCTCAAGTAATAAGCATACTGTAAATTAAGCATTAAAAAAACAGTGTTTAAATGTGTGGAGCAATAATGATTTCTAGACCTGTCAAAGAAACAAACATGATTCAGAAAGGTCTTCACAGAAGATGGCAATTACAGCTAGATCAAAAGCACAAATATTTTGGTCACCACTTGAGACACAAAGACATAATTAAAGTTCTGAATAAGTCCATTAAAAGTAGTGAAGAGTAGAGCACAAGCGTGATGCCTTCCCCAGGCTGAGCCATAGCAGCCTATTCCGAGTTGGGACACGCATGAGGTTTAGCGCTGGCTCGTATCCACACAAAGAGGCACAGTATAATGTGTCTCAGTCCACGCCATCAAAACAGAGAATTACTCGATGTTGATTTCAAAAAGAATTTAATTACAAGTCTACCTTAAAATACCTTCCAAACCATCCAACCTGAAAAACATGTTACGAGACCTAATATTGCTCCACGCAATATGCAGAGCGACCCAAGTTTTACTTGGGGGAAGAAGCAGCTCAGTAGACTTGAATGCAGCTGGTTGTTCATCTTCAGTTCACAGAAAGAGGAAGTATCTGCTTGTGTGCGAGTGTTACTGCTTTAGCACAGAGCCATCTGCATTGCTGCCATGAGATTATTTGGCTTATCTAGCGCTCACTAAGACAGGAAGAGAAAATGAAGGGCTGCATTGATCAGACAGATGTACTGAACCGCACTGTGTCACAGCTTTAGAGGCTGAAACAAGAAGTTATTGAGGAAAAGCTGCGGAGCCAGAACTGATCACCCACTGCGCAGAGGCGATGCAAAGCTAAATTATCTGTATCCATGAAGCATCTGGAGGGTGGACAATTGCCGAATTATTTGTTAAAGCTAATTTTAAAAGTTAAAAATAATGCAAA